GGCTGACTAACATTCATGGTGCTGAAAGGTGATTTGCATGCTACTGAAGAAGAAAAGTAATCATCGATATCACCCAGTCACAAACCCTGTGACAGAGACATGCCAGCAAGGTATACTGGTGCAATAGTAGAACAAACCTTATGAGAGTAACCAACCACTTTTGTTTGGATTTAAGGGATTTAAGGCCCACTCTGAGATGGAGCCCAAATTTGACACTGCTAAGGTGGCCAAGAACCTGAGACTAGGTAGGTAGGTCATGGGCCTTAGGGGAAAACCTACTACTATTATTCTGCTAAAGGAACATAGCAATAAAATGACATATTGTCATATCCATAGGTCGTTGTCTCGCTCAACCCTTTTCAGAGAAGCTTCTCCTTGCGGTAGATGGGAATTAACACAGAAACCCATATCTGCACAATGTGGAGAGTGAGAGACTTTAGAGAACTCAACCCTACAAGGGATGTCTGTATTTTGAAATTTTATGTATATATGTGTTAATAATTTTATATATGTATTAATAACAAGCATACATAATAAAAATTGTGCAATGCATAGTAAAGTTCAAAAAATAAATTAAAAATGACAGAACCAAAGGTTGCTTTAAAAGAAATAATAATAAATACGTTATTGTGATTAGCAAGATGGTACACATCCTAGAATAGATGGCATGAAATGATTTGAAAAAGAGCCAGCAAGCAAGATGGATGTTGCTCTTTAGAGGCACTGATGGGTATGGGAGGTAGGCAAGCATAATGCCTCATCAGTGTTTGTGAACAACAAAACTAAAGGAACAAGATAAAATGGAACCATTGACTTCCTTTAATAAAAGTTTATGAGAAAATCATGGACTATCATGCGCTTAGAAAATGCAACATGGAGGACAGCCTGCCTAAGTGCTAACTTAACTAAAGAACCCAGAGGTCTAAGAGTAAAAGAGGTAAACATACCTACAACAAAGCCCCCAGTGGGCCCCACATTTTCCCATGAGCATTCAACACAGGAAGACAAAGGAGCAGGATTTAAGGGATAGCAAGCTTGACAGACAGTATCCTCTGCATAGTGGTTGCTCTTCATGTGGACAGGCAACAAGAAATGGTCAGAGGGCCATCTAATATGCCTACTTGATGAACCCAGAGAACCAAAAAGAACATTCATTCATCTTTGTTTTTTAAAAAAATGGAAAATAAATAGTAAATTGATTTAAATATAAAATTAAAACAAATCAACTAGCCATTGATAGTGCAGAAGAGAATGTAAACTCTGGAGGTCTTGACATCATCTCAATGATGTCATGGAAGCTAACTGCGAATCTGGAAAGGAGTGGTAGAGTAATGGGAGTGGGCTTACTTTCTTGCCTTGCTTAGCAGATGGCCCTAGATATTCTCTGAAGTCAAATTTGCCATTAAAATAACTATCCAAGTTTCATGTTTCTTTAATCTTCTGTAATAACTCCAGAGTATTCCTTTTGAAATTAATTATGATTTAAAAAACAAACCTTCAACAGATCTTGTAATTTTATTCAATTTTCCCTAATACACTTAATAAATTGCATTGAAGTTGTAAATTAAAACTGTGTGTACCTTAGGTGATCATTAATGTTGTTTTGTAACAAGCAGTTTTGGTCATTCTTTAATGGAGTCTTTCTGTATTAGTCAGCTTTGCATCAGTACAGCAATACACCAAGCAATTAATTCATGAAGAGGAAAGATTTCTATAGCTCACAATTTGGGGAACTTCAAAGGCACTGTGACTTGCATCGTTCATCCCTCGAGAGTGTGATGGACAGCAATGGTAAGAGTAAGTGGACATATCTTAATCCAAGATCCAGGGAGGATATATGGGAAGAGCCTGACAATCTCTTTTAAGGATATACTCTCAGTGACCTAAGAGCCTCCCTGTAGGTCCCACCCCTTAAAGGTAGAGCTCTTCTCATTAGCACCTCTGTGAGAAACTTATCTATACATATGGATCTTGAGAGACATTCAAATTATATTCAACCATATATGTCTTCCATTTTATTTTGTTAATTGATATATAAAATGAGAAAAGTGTGTGTGTGTGTGTGTGTGTGTGTGTGTGTGTGTGTGTGTGTGTGTGTATGAGAGAGAGAGAGAGAATGGGGGTGAAGAGAGGTGTAGACTGTTTAAGGCAGGGAGGGTAAGCATGCCTATCTCCTCAAATATGTATCACATCAGAGGTATATCTTTTTTTTCTTGCAAAAACAAAAAATCCTGATAGTTTTGTTAAATAGGCAGTCCATTAATGTTATATAGAGTCACCCACTAGACAATAACACACCAGAACTCCCTGCCCCTACCTAACTGGAACTTAACCAGCTATTAGTCAATCCTTCCCCATTCCATCCGCCCCCTGTCCTGACTTCCCAGACTACAGCATTCCTATAATGGCAGTTGTCATTCTGTGCTGGTTCATTTTGCTAACATAATGACCTCTAGTTTCATCCATGTTGTCACAGGTGGCAGAATTCCATTCTTCTTTGGATATGAATAAGTATTCCATGATGTAAATGCACCACAGTCTCTTTATATACTTACTGGTGATGGGCTCTTCTGCTTTCATCTCTTAGCTGCTGTGCAGGTTCTCTTTCAACATACTGATTTCATTTCCTTTGGAGAAATAACCAGTGGTGGATTGCCAGAGCATGTGGTAGTTCTAAGTTTTCCTTTTCTTTTCTTTCTTTCTTCCTTCCTTCGTTCCTTCCTTCCTTCCTTCCTTCCTTCCTTCCTTTCTTTCTTTCCTTCTTTCTTTTTTCTTGAGGAGCTTCCATACTGTTTCCCATAATAGTTGTATTAATTTACATTTCTATGGACCAACTGGTATGGCAGGGTCCCTTTGCTCCACATCCCCACCAGCACTTGTTACCATTTATCCTTTTGATGAAAGCCTGCCCTACTGAAGTGAGGTAACATCTCATTGTAGTTTTGCATTTCTCTGGTAATTAGTGATAGTGAACATTTTTCATGTGCTCTTTGGTCATTTGAATGTCCTCTCTTAAGAAATGTCTATTTAGGTGAATTGCCCACTTATTAGTTGTACTTCTTGGGTTTGCCTTGAGAGAGTTATATTTTCTCCCATTTTGTCAGTCATCTCTTCAGTCTGAGAATTGTTTCCTTTGCTGTGCAGAAGCTTCTTAGTTTGATGAAGTCCCATTTGGCTGCAAAGCTGTTTCTTATACCCCAGAGTCACACCCAAACAGTCCTTGTCCATTCCAAAGCCTGAATGTGTGCCTTCCCCTGTGTTTTCTTCTAGTAGTTCTCATGTCTTATGTTTTTGTCTTTAATCTACCTTGAGTTGAATATCTTTGTAGCTGGTGAGAGGTAAGGATGTAGTTTTCATTCTGTATGTGGTAACTTTTTTTCCAGCACCATTTATTGAAAAGACCATTTTTTTCTCTAATGCATGCTCTTGGCACCTTTGTTGATAATAAGTTGATTATAGATGTACAAGTTTACTTTTACTCTGGCCCATTACTCTAGATATTTATTTCTATATTAATACTGTCCTGTTTTGACTAGTATAACTTTGTAGTATATTTTAAAGCTGGGTACTGCAAGGCCTCTTCCGTTCTATTTTCTCAGGATTGCTTTGGCTATATTTTTGTACAAATTTTACTCTTTTTTTGTTTTGTCCTGTGGAAGCATCATTGACATTTTGAAGGGGATGGCTTTAGGTATGCAGATTGCTTGGGGTAATTTGTACATTTTACAACATTCATTCTTCTAATCTATGATCAGGGGATCTCTTTCCAGTTTTTGTGTATCCATCTCAATTATTTTCATCAGTGTTTTACAGTTTTCATTGTGCAGATCTTTTGGCTTTTGTTATTGTTAACTAAATCTAAATTTTTGTAGCTACTATGAACAGTACTGCTGCAATGTTAATTTTACATATCAGTTTTACACTCTCCACTTGTCATTGTTTTACTGTATAAACATACAGTAAAAGGCATATTAGAGGGCTGAGGAGATGGCCCAGTTAGTAAAGTGTGTGCCATCCAAGCATGAAGAACTAAGTCAACTCTCCAGTACCCACATAAAAGTAAGATGTGGTGATGAACATGTGTAACCTAAGCAGGGCACATTCCTAATGTCAAAAATGAAATCATAAATTCTACAGCAATAAATTACTGTCAGTTACTTGCTAATCTCAGAAAGAAGGGGCTGAAGAAAGGTGTATGGGTACATACTTTTAGAAATCCAAGGACAAGTGTTTTCCTCTACCTTATTTTTGAGACACTGTCTCTCACTGAGCCCAAAGCTCAATTACTGACTAGACTGGTTGGCCTGCAAGCTCTAGGGATCCCACTGTCTCTCCATACACCCACATTCACATGTGCACATACACGTAAACACACACATATACTGCACACAAAAATAAAGCAAATTAGGCATCATTTCTAATGTCAAAAATGAAATCATAAATTCTACAGCAATAAATTACTGTCAGTTATTTGCTAATCTCAGAAAGAAGGGGCTGAAGAAAGAAAGAAAATAAGAAAAGGGGGTTGTAACAATAAGTCTTTCTGCCAAGCTGCCCGAGCCCTGCAGCCACGTGGGCGACTCCAGGAGGAAGAGAGAGAAAGAACGACTTCCTTCTTGCCCTTGCTTATATATGAGTCTGCCTGCTATGTCACTTCCTGCCTGTATCACAAGACTTCCTTTTAATACATTTCCCAGAATCCTCCTTGACTCCTAGTCCTGCCTAACCTCCTTCTTCATTAGCCAACAGTACTTTATTCAACAACCAATAAGATAAACATATACACAGAAGGGCCTCCCCCATCAGGGGGAATTAATGAAAATGAAGAGAAAGAAAGGGAGGGGAAGGAGAGGGAAGGTGAGAGGAGTTGTGATGAGAAGCTCTCTATATTGTAAAAATCAACCTAGGAGACTACTGTCCATGGCTGGCTGTCCTGTGCATGGTCTGTCGGTGGGTCGTCCTGCACATGCTCGGTCTGACATGCACCACTCTCATTGCAGTGTTCTGTCACCTGTGGTGTTGGATTCCAGAGAAGAAAGCAGGTGTGTCAAAGGCTGACTGCCAAAGGCCGGCGTGTGCCCCTCAGTGAGACTCAGTGCAGGGGCCTTCCCGGGCTCCCCCTCATGAGACCTTGCCAGATGCCTGTGTGCAGCAGTAAGTAAGCAGCAGCATCCATGCTTCAGCCTCTTCCTTTTCCTTTTTCATCCTTTAGCCTATCTCAACTCCTGGGGTGAAGCAACCCAAGTGAAACTCCAGCTTGTTTTCAGTGGTGAATGTTAGACTCGGGAGACCTAGAAAGGGTTTTAAGGAAAGTCCAATTTAAGGAATGTCTGCTCGTGAGTGTGCCTTGTAGGGATTAAGCTGAATTGCTTCCTGGCTTACTTTGCCAGAAGTGTATCTGTATTCACATTATTAAAACTAGAAGAGCTGAGTATTTGATAAAAGTACTTTAATGCTTTTTTATTCTGTATAAATCAAAATCAGTTAGCATAGCAACATGCTTCAAGTAAATGGCAGATTGCATATCTTGCCAATAAGTTATAAATCATAAACTATGACGTCAATGGTGTGCTTTCATTCTATTCAAAGGTAATCCGCATATATGTGTGAGGATGAATTCGTGTGTAGGTATCACGTGGGAGGAGCACCACCTGTGATGTCAGGACTGTCACAGCAGCAACTGCAAACAGGCAGCTTGGAAGGTGACAGTGAAAGGAGAGTGGGGAACCCTGAGACAACAGCTTCAGGGCCCAGTCTCTGCTTTGTTATTTACTGTCATCGTTCACCTATAAAATAGCATGGCATTGTGTTAGGTAGCCCCTGCCAGCTTGCCTGTAGTAAGAAAAAACCAGAGATGAACTGTTGTCATTTTGTTGGTGTGTGTGTGTGTGTGTGTGTGTGTGTGTGTGTGTGTGTGTGTATGTGTGTGTGTGTTCTTAGTTTATTGACAGTATTCCTGGAGAAATTCACAAAACAAAGCATCAAGTTGAAATGAAAAGCATATTGACAATATTCCTGGAGAAATTCACAAAACAAAGCATCAAGTTGAAATGAAAAGCAATGATATTTGTTGATCTCCTTCCACCATGGAAATAACCTTGCATGGTTATCTCACTTAGTCTCCCCAGCAGTGCTCAGAGTCAGACCCTTATCCTCATTTAGAGACAAGGCATGCAAGACAGAGGCAAGACCTGAGTTTTACCCTAGACTCCATGACTGCCAGTTGGACCCTTCGGCCTATTTGACCACAAGTCTGTCTGACTCTTGAGCCCACACTCTTAGCAGCTACTCTCTGCTGATTCATGAACACTAACATTTTTTTCTGGGAATACTTTGAGAGCATATTTTCAAAATCTTGACATTCTAAAACCCCAAGATTCCAAGTTTTAAAGCCTTTTGGAAATCAGGAATGTCTGCGGCAAATGGCACGTTATGAGTTTGTTTTAGTCACTCACCTACCCGATTTTTATCAGTGTGACTAGGCTGTAAAGTGCCTTAGAGGAAAATGGAGTTAATGTCATAACCAGCAGCCTCCTTGAAAATAGACTGACAGAACACTATGTGAGGATATGTTGTGGTCATTGGACATGTAATATACAGGATGGGATTATAAATCATTATGGCATTCAGGAGAGAGAAGAATTTCACAAGCATTATGGAGGAAAACCAAACAAGAAAAACAAAGCATTTTGCTTTACCCCACTATATTGCCTAGCCTGCTGACCACATAGGCCATAGAAGGGACAGGAACCAGAATACTCCTAATAGCCAGCCACCATGAGCCGACCTTCAGTTCTGCCACCATCTGGTGCCAGGTTATCACCTCTGATTGATGGTGCTTGCTTGGCCATGTGGTGAGCAGCTCCCTCTGAACATTCATGGACCATTCTCTTACCACCACTACATCTTAAAGACCAGGTGATGAGCAGGACAATTTCCCAGCATCCTGTCTCTGTTGTATCTTTTCTTCCCTCCTATGCATGCCATTTTAACCATCCTCCTTAGACATTATAAGGTTCACTATGTAGGTCTTCAATATACTTTCTACTTTACTGTAGGACACACTGCCATGTATCTACCAACATTTGCCAATACACAGGACAACCAAGTTCCTTATTGATGACCTTTCTGATAGGTAATATCCGCATTCCCAACCTCAACAATTCTTCCATGCCATCACCATGGTTAGATGACACCCAAGCTTCCTCCCGTTAGGCCCTTATTTGGTTAATGTCTCACTAGGACCTCTGGAGCTTTCATATATCCCTATTATTTCCCAACATTCTGATCCTGTACTAGAAACCAGTCCACTTAGCTGGCTTTTCTGGTCATCCACTTAATCAACCCTGTTGCCAGATATATGCCTTTCTTTAACCTACTGCCAGAGTCCCTGCTTATCTTTAACCTTAGCATTACATTCAAGTGATTTTCTTGTCTGCTTTTTGTTTCCTGGCTTGAGTTACTGGGATTTCTAAGAATAAATAATGTTACCCTGCCAGTGAGACATGCATACTTATGCTATCTAAAATAAGCTGGGAGGTAAGTGTGAGCCACCCCATGTTTACTAAGAAATCACTAGAAAGTCACCAGAACAGCTGTTTTCCTATGATCATGCTGCCATTCGTTGTGAATGATCTTATCTTTTACCCATTGGTAACAGTAAGGCTGCATTAGCTTTTGTTGTGCTAATGCATGCTTTTGACTTTCATGAGTTTCAAGACAACCTTGTGAGGCAGCTATAGCCACTATTTCTTTAAGAAGGAGACAATTATCATAGCTTGCCAGTGTCATGTGGCAAGACACTGGGAGAACCAGGCTCTGAAATCCAGCGAGTTACTCATGCCCAGTGTCAGTCACCTTTCAGACACAAACACACTGAGAAAAGCTCATTAGAGAAGGAAATGTGTGGGTAAGAACCCAAAAGAGAAGGTTATGGATTTATTACTAGGGGTCATTGGTGGCGTTTTTCTGAGAACATTAATGTGGTGATAGGAACAGAACCCAGGCTAGAGTTGGTTAATAGTAAAACAGAAATAAGTAACTGGGAGCTATTGTTTCCTTCTGACCTAGGCCATACCATGGTTATGGTGTCTCAGGAGTATCTTAACTCATTTAGCAAATCTCACCCATAGCATTCCTACAGCTTCTGATCAGTAGCCCTCAAAGAAGCCTAAATAAACTAACTTCTCACATTCTTGACATAGATTCAGATGAGCTTGTCTTACTGGATTCCCATGCCTAGTGGAAGGAGAGGGAACCAGTACCAGCCAAATGACCAGAATGAGTTCCAGAGTCTAAGAGGGTTCCAGCAGAGTAATAGGAAGGCTGGGTCATAGCCAAAGCCTGTTAAGGAATGGCAAGAGTCAAATGCTGGAGAATCAAGTATAAATTGCAGCCAGGATGGCACGAGGCAGAAATCTGGCATACTTCCCAGGCTTAGAGTAATGGCAGGGATACTACAACTAGAACGACAAGACAGGTATGCACCACCATCTTCGAAAAGGACATGTGTGTAGCACAGACTTGAGCTCACAGGCAATTCAGATGTTCTTTCTTATTTCTCTTCCCTCCTCACTAGTAGGTAGCTCATTGCTGTGACTGAATAAAAGACACTGGGCCATGAGTACCTTTTTCTACAGTGCTAGTCTATACCAGGGGTATGCTCCAGGATGACTGTCCTCAAACTAGTTGAGCATTTCAGTCAGCTGATGAACTTTCTAAAGCCTTAACTGCACCCTATAAATTAGCTTGTCTGGGAGTAGAAACAAGAGCACTGAGGTTCCCACACCCTGTAACCTGCCCAGGGCCCAACATATATAATCAAAAAGTAATCTGATTTTGTCCCACATCACTCCAGAATACACGGGTAAAAACAAGGGCAAAAGCTGGCACCTTGGGGGACAGGATTGTAGGTATATAACCTTTTGTCCCAAGCTGTCAGCTAGAGTCAATGGGAACAAATGAAGCTCAGTCCAAACTCTGATTCTCTCTCACTCATCTCCATTGCTTCTGGGCTGCCTTTGTCATTTGACAGGTAGTTGAAGGCATCATATATGAGGGCCCATGTTTTCCAACTACAGGAGGGTACATGTGATCTAAGCAAGTGGATGTAACTCTCAGGGTCATCTGAAGGATGCCATTCCTAATCATTCCCATTTTGCAGACAAGATAGACTTGGGGAAACTTAATGCCATATCCTCAGGCAAAGCTGGGATTCAAACTCAGAGTTCTCTAGCTTTAAAGTGTCTATTCTATTGTACCTTTCTATTCTGAGCACACTCTCTTCTACATCTCCAGATCCTCCTGGTTGTCTAGATGATGTATTTGGATTAGATTCTAAACTTTGTCTACCCCATCATCCTATTCAGGCCTTCTAAATGTATTCACTCACCTTCTCTCACCTCTTCCCTCAGATTTGGTGTACCTGTGGTCCAAGCCAAACTAACTCACTGAGGGCCACTCCAGCAGTGGGTGGGTGGCCAACATACTGCAGAAGCATCTTATTAATGGAGTCTTATACCATCAGTACTGGGGACTAATCAAGCCACCGCTGCAATGTGGCAAAAAACAAACAACTCTTAACTGTAGAAGAACCTGTCTGTTTCCTTTGTTTCACTGAGTCATTTTACCTCATATCAGGGCTTCATAAAATAGCCTACATATTTCTAAGCAGCATGTTCAGACTTGCATGCCTCCTTGCTGAAGGACTAGACAGCTGTGAAGTTTACCCCAAGCATGAATATAAGATTCTTCTCTTGTTGTAATTCACGTTTTTAAAGAATTTTTTTAAAAAAAGATATATTAGTAGGCCTAGATCAATCAGCCTCAAAAATTTCCTGTCAAAAACCTCTATTTGTGAGTGTTTTCCCTCAATTTCTTTTCTTTACTTTTTTTTCCCTGCAGAAGTGAAACTTGGGACAAAGACACGACTTGGAGAGCGGGGTCCCCAGATTCTCGGTGTCCGGAGAGTCTATATTCAGACGAGGGAGGAGAAACGGATCAACCTGACCATCGGCAGTAGAGCCTACTTGCTGCTCAATACATCTGTGATCATTAAATGCCCTGTAAGACGCTTCCAGAAATCTCTGATCCAGTGGGAGAAGGATGGCCATTGTCTGCAGAACTCCAAGCAGCTTGGCATCACCAAGTCGGGCTCACTGAAGATCCACAGTCTTGCAGCCCCTGACATTGGCGTGTACAGGTGTATTGCAGGCTCTGCACAGGAAACGGTTGTCCTCAAGCTCATTGGGACTGACAACAGACTCATTGCTCACCCATCCCTCAGAGAGCACCTGCGGGCCCACTCTGGGGTGGAGCACAATGAAGCCAATAGTTTGGGAGCCACATGGCATAAAATGCGTCAGATGTGGAATAACCAAAATGAGCTTTACTTGCACGATGGTGAAATCAACAACCAGCCTTTCTTGAGAGCTCTGTTAGGGCCATGCAGGAGCTCTGCAGGAAACACCAACTCCTGGGAGTTTAAGAACAAGCAGTTTGAGGCTGCCATGAAACAGGGAGCATACAGCATGGACACAGCCCAATTTGATGAGCTTATAAGAAACATGAGCCAGCTTATGGAGACAGGAGAGGCCAGCGATGACCTTGCATCTCAGATGATATATCAGCTGGTAGCTGAGTTGGCCAAGGCTCAGCCGATGCCTGTCCAGCGGAGGGGCATGCATGAGGAGGCTGCTCCCATGGCTCAGCTCAGAGGGGAGACAGGTAGAGCTCCCCAAAGCCCCACAGTAAAAACTTCAGGCAAGCTGACTTTTAAGCCAAAAGGACCTGTTCTCATGCGACAAACCATACCCCCTTCAGTTTCATTTAACAAAACAATAAATGCAAGGATTGGGAATACAGTATACATAACAAAAAGCACAGAGGCCATCAATATACTCTGCAATCTTATTAATCCCAGCAGTGAGGCCACTTACACATGGACCAAAGATGGAGCATTGCTGCAGCCCTCCATGAAGTGAGTCAACTAAGAACATGGTGCTTCCTTGAGAGTTCCTTATTGTGGCCTATTCTATAATTTTCTTAGAAACATTTTCAGAGTTCTTCCCCTAAAAAATATGCTTCCTCCCATTCTCATTCTCCTTTATCTGCCTAAACAGTTTTACTTTTTTCATGTTTTTTTTGTGTGTGTGTGTGTATGTGTGTGTGTGTGTGTGTGTGTTGATATCTTGCTTGTACAAATAAAGCTTGTCTGAAGGTCAGAGAATGCAGCTTGTCACTAGCTAACTATAGGGGCTGGAGGTCTGTACAAACAGACAGAAAGTGAGGTAGCTGGGCAGAAACAGGATATAAGCAGGGAGAAACAGGAACTCGATCTCTTGTCTGCTGAGATGCAAAGGAGGTAAGGTGTGTCGGTGGCTTCCTCCTTCTCTCTGATCTCTCAGTGTTTTCCTCTATATCTGACTACAGGTATTTTTTACTTAGACCAATTAAGAACTCCATTTACATGTGACTTTAGGTATCTATACACAATCTAGGAACAACAAATGGGAAAGGGCAAACCAGGGATGTTTGCCCTTCTGAGATGGCTTAATTCACTTAGTATTGTTAAAGATCAATAAAGCCCTCACTCCCCCGCCCCACCTTGTTGAGAGTACACTCATTGGCCTCAGTGGAAACCTAACATTCAAATTTGGGGAGTCAATCACCTGACCTAGGGACTATTCCCCATCAGAGGAGAGACTGGCCTTAAGAGGCTAGTCTCACCATAAGCCATGCTAAAGAGATAGGTGGACTAATTGACTGCTTAAGTGAGGTATTTTATTTTTCCTTCCCAGAATCCCTGCCCTCTAGGACAGTTTCCACAAACCACAGTGTGGTTGCTATGAGGTTCTGGGTCTGACTCAGAAAGATGGAACTTTTTTTCTTCTCTTATCCTATCTCTTTCAGTTCCTAGCGAGAACCTAAACCTAAGTATGTTTTTTGTTTTGTTTTGTTTCCCCTGCTAGTTTGGACTTCTTTGCTCTTTCTCTAAAGCCCCCATGTCTGCCACATGACTGCCTTGTCCACCATGAATCTGACATCTATGTCTGCTCACCTGGGGTACTGTGGTGTTTGCCTTCTCTTTGCCCTTCTCTTCCAGGAAGCTTCTGGGATATACAACTTACCTGCCATTTTTTTTTTCTTTTGAACTGTAGTAAAATCAAAACAGAAGCCAGTTTGTCCACATCCCAGCCTGTTATAAGAGCTCTCTGAGAGGAGAGCCTTCCCCACTCTTCCATATATGCAGTTTCTTCCTGGAGCCAGTGGCTTTGACGTGATTACCTTGCAGGTTCCGTGCCAGACGAAAGCCTACAATTTTGCAGTTACCATTTTCTGTAGCCGGTGATGGCCCTATAGCAATTATATATGTTACTTGAGTATATTCTCATTTTAACTATTTTACAGGATCATTTTGGATGAAACTGGGAAGATGCAGATAAAAAATCCTACAAGGAAAGAGCAAGGGATATATGAATGTTCCATAGCTGATCATCTTGGTTCAGATGTAGAAAGCTCATTGGTGTTATATGCAGGTAATGCCTGTGGGTGAAGCCTAGAGTGTCTGAGATCTCATTGTTGCTTTGTTTATCGCCTGGCATGCTAGCATTCTAAAACCTCACTATGTATGTCAATGGTGCAGGGCTTGTTAAAGTACCAGTTGCTGAATGCTGCCTAGGGCATTGCCTTAATAGGTTTGGAATGAGTTTGATGCTTGATCTGTTAAACATGTTCCTGGTTTACACCAACTCTCTGGAAACAGTGGCTATAAGACTTATTTTCCACAAATTGAGAATTAATGAGATGGAGATTCATTGACAATGTTGACGCTATAGACTTTTTTAAGTTCCATAGCCGGCCGAGGAATGAGAATCACTAGCCTTTAAGTGTGTCACTTTTCTCTCTGTGACATACCTGCCACTCCTTAGCCAGCACTGCCCCCAGAGGTTGTAATTTTACATTAGCATACATCTTCATAGGCACTGGACATTGTCACTTTGTATCAAAATATTTTTTTACAATAGAAGATCATTTTTAGCTGCTTAAGTTGTAGGCAGCAATTCTCCATGGTACAACTATATTCTAGGACTAGACATAAACAAGAGTGCCATTCCCCAGATCACTATTCTCTTTTCCTCCTCTCTTTGGGACTCAAAGGGACCAAAAGAGAATAGAGACAACATCAGGGATTAGAACCCTGTTTGGTTACCTAGATGCTAGGCTTGGTGGCAGACCTTGTCATCCACAAGCTGAGAAAGTTGAAGCCACTGGTTTTGAAAGTTTCTTGAGACTGGATGACTTGAAGATGGCTGCCTTCCCAAGTCAGAGTCATCAGATCAGTGGATCTCAACCTTCCTAATGCTTCAACCTTTAATACAGTTCCTCAAGTTGTAGTGACCTCAAACCATAAAATTATTTTCATTGCTACTTCATGACTGTAATTTTGCTACTGTTATGAATCATAATGTAAATACCTATATTTTCTAATGGTCTTAGGCAAGCCCTGTGAAAGGGTCATTTGACCTCTAAAGGGTTTGTGACCTGCGGGCTAATAGCCTTTGTTTTCTCCTGGACTGTTGTGCCTGTAATCATTAGCTCCTTTCAAGCAAGTACAAATCCAGGTATTTCCTGTAGTGACTAGGAGATGCCTCATCTACTAGTGCTCCTAAGTCTGCTCTTGAGTCCATCCCCAGATAACCTAGACTTCTGACAGAGCTGATATGAGGGTCTCATGAGCCATAGGATGAGCTGTGACAACCAAAGATCCCTTCTACCAAAAAGGTTCCCAGCATTTTCAACCCCTCAGGTAGTTTTCTACTGCCTCAGGCATCCCAAAAAAAGAATGGAACTTTCTTTAGCCCAGGCTTCTTGAGAACAAGAGTGCATGTGTTCTTATTCTATATTTTCATTGTCCATGTCACACAAATTATGCACATGGGGGACAAAGCATGTGCCCTGACTGAGTTAATAAATGAATCCATTCATTATCAAATTCAAGGAGTGAAAATCCTTGAATGAATTCCTGACTCTGTGGCTTCTTTGTCTTTATTATTTCTTCAAAGCAAGTTTTATGTGGCTATTTGTTTCACATTAGTTAAAATGCTAAATTCTGAGTTCTCCTCCAAACAGTGCTAATCCACTTGAGATAGCTTCACATGATTTCATAAATGAAGAATTTCTACAGAGTAGAGAGGTGTGAGAAGTGTCTTAAAGAGGTGCCCCATCAGCCAGTAGCCTTTCAAGAGTGATAGCTTTACTATTTTAAGTGCACATGAATTTATTTAGATAGTGTGAGAAGGAGAGCCTCTGAGCCACACACTGCAGGGTGAATGGCTATGAGGTTACTCAGCACTTTGACTGGGATTCCTACTGTAGCCCAGCAGGAAAACACTTTGTACATGTTCCTGATTAGAAGAAAGTTAATGAGAGTTGTGAACTCCTGCCAAGCTGGCCTTTCCCAAAACAGCTTTGAATGAGTCCTGAACCCTACACTTATTCTATGATTTGCAAGTCAGCCTGTCTCTGGCCCTAAAAGGAAACTGTATATGGTTTATTTTTAGAATCTATATTGTTATTGAAATGTCTGATTGCATCACCTTGTTCTGGGACAGGTTTTGTGATTATTAATTAAAGAGTAGCTCTGCTTTTGTTGCTGCTGAGCAGAGAGCACAGTGGAATGCTTTGTAGATGTTAGCTGAGCCTTGGCCCACTCTTATATCAGTAGGAGAGGCCTTGGAGAGCCTTTTCCATCAAGGATATCACCTTCCAAGGGCAACAGGATAGGTCAGGATCCACTGCCCTACCTCACACTCCTCCTTCTATAAAGTGTCAGATCATCACAGTCCCTGGTGTTTTAGGCCTACATCAATCCATCTGAGGCTGCATGAGAGAGATACTATTCTGCCCTGCTGTGCATTCTTGCATCTTGTGAACTAAGTCTCTGTGAAATTATCAAGAAAGAGTTAACCTTAATTATGGTTATGATGATAAAATATATTCACTTTATACTTGATCTTTGCAAACCACCCACCATCCATCCACCCATCCATCCATCCATCCATCCATCTATCCATCTACCCATCATCTCTGCAATCATCTCTAGCTGTGTGTGTGTGCTTGTCTGTGTATACCACAGGGTTAAATGACCAGCACTCTTCCCTGCTTTTCATCAAATCAACAATGCTTGTCAATGAGAGTACCTCTAGCTGTGTGTGTGTGCTTGTCTGTGTATACCACAGGGTTAAAGAGACCAGCACTCTTCCCTGCTTTTCATCAAATCAACAATGCTTGTCAATGAACAAGAGTTTAAACCTAACATAGTTTCTGCTCCCTTTGAATTAAGAGGCACCTGTCATCTTGTCTATTGAAAGAAATGTCACCAAACCAGAACACAGCCATCTGTCTGTTGTGGTGGGAGGCACTGTGGAGGCAGCCCTTCAGGCAAATGTGATAATCCACTGTCCTGTAAAAGGTAAGTATTATCATTTCCAGTGTGAATGTATTTGGCCAACAATAGCCAGAAGGTGACAGCTAGCATTTTAGTGTTCTGTACATAATCCTGATGAACTCTCATTCTAATTTCTAGTACTCTCCCATGCATCTAATTATCAAAAGCGAACTCATGCCACATTCTAAGACTAATGCCAGGACTGAGAGATGGCTCAGTCAATAAAGTCTTTGCTCTGCAAACACAAGGACCTAAGTTAATATCTAAGAAGCATGCACATAAAAATAAAAAAGAAAGCCTGGCACAGTAGCATAGATCTGTAACCCCAGATCCAGAGACACGTAGGTTCCTAGAGTTTGCTAGCCACTTAGTCTTGCTAGTCAGTGAGAGACCCTGTCTCAAAAGATAAGGTGAAGAGTGCTCAAAGACAGTACCCAGTGTTGACCTCCAACTTGGTCATATATAAGCACCTGCATGCACATATACAAACACACTAACACACTAGCATGTTCTCTTTCTGTGTCTTTCTCTCGCCCTCCTTCCCTCTCTTCCTCCCTTTCTTCCTCCATCCCTCCCTTCACCTCTCTTTCTCTCTCTCTCTCTCTCTCTCTCTCTCCTTTTAACACACACACACACACACACACACACACACACACCACAGTGGAGGGGAAGAGAGAGGTTTAAGACAGTAAGACAGATAGCCACTTTGTCTCCACTGTGGGCTGTGACTGACACATACACACTGGAATGTTCATCCTGGGAAAGCCAGAGCACTATGTGGGGGGACAGATTTATAATAAACAGACACTTTCAGTTATGAGGTTATGTGTGGTGACTATGGAGTCTGAGAAAAGAGATTTTTAGCAATTGTTAGATATGTCTTCCTGCTATGCAGTGGCCTTGGCAAAGCCAGGTCTGAGACTAGGAATGTCAGTATCTTCTACTCAGACATAGTTCTCAACTGCCCATGAGTGGGTCTCAGCAGGCCTCAGCAGCCTGTGTGTCAGTGGCATTTCCTGCTGTATTTGCTAATGCAGGATCAACTGCTTTGCAAAAAGACTATTTGTAGTGCTAAGGATGGACCCTTGGGCCTCTTTTATTAATAGAAGTAAAACTTTTGGCCTGCTTCTGCCTGAACTAGGGCTATTTGGCCACTCAAAGACAGGCATTCTTAAGTCTTAACCTGGACTCTTGAGTGCCCACAATGTAGACAGACAATATATTCTGCACACTTCTACATTTTACAGGTGTAAGGGGTGGACTGATGTGTGAATAGCTTTAGAGAGACATACAAACACCAAATTGAGTCTACTAAATCAAGAGGAACTTTCTATATGCCCTTAATTTACTGTGCATTGACTTGGATATCTGAAAAACTATATCCTCCAATTTCCAAGGATTAATAAGACACCCCTGTATTTATAGACATGTTTGATGTTCTCTGATGGTAACCCATCTAATGATATGTGATTTTGACTCTTTCACTGAGGAGTTGTCTTACTGCTGTGAAGTTTCTACTGCTGTGAAGACACACCATGATCATGGGAAACTCTTATAAAGGAAAACATTTAACTGGGACTGGCTTACAGTTTCAGAGGTTTAGTCCATTATCATCATGACAGACCTGACAGTGAGCAGGAGGAGCTGAGAGATCTACATCTTGAGCCAGAAGGAGTCCATGCTGTGTGCCACACTGGCCAGACTTGAGGTTGTAAGACCTCAAAGACCACTCCCACAGTGGCACACTCCCTCCAACAATGCCACACTTACTCAGCAAGGCCACACCTACTAATAGTGCCACTCCCTATGGACCAAGCCTTCAAACACACGAGTCTATTCCTGCTGTAACTATTCAAATCACTATAGGAGTTGTGGCAAAGTGTTAATTCATCCCATCTAGGACTCTAATCACAGACAAGAAAGAAAGAAACAAAGAAAGAAAGAAAGAAAAAAAGAAAGAAAGAAAGAAAAGATTCCATTCAAATTGAGTGTGAGTTCAAACCCATGAGTTTATTGGGAGTTAGTTAGATTTCATTCAAATTGAGTGTGAGTTCAAACCCATGAGTTTATTGGGAGTTAGTTACAGGAGCATGGAAGACTAAAGCAGTTACATCACCAAAAAGCCCACCCCTGCATGGCTGACCATTCACCAAAGCCTTGGAACTGTCTGTATAACATGTAGGCAGCTCTATCATACAGCCTCCTCTAGTCTAGCAACAGCTTCCTACACATGTGACCTTGGGGAGGAGACTTTGCCTCTTTTAACCTTTTGACCTTTCCAGTCTTATAAGTTTGGTTAATTTCCTGGGTTGTATGAACAGGGCCCCTCCTCTCTGCCAAAGGTAATGAACTCAGGAAAACCAGTTACACAATGCAGTGTGATAGCAGCGGCATCTAAGGCTGCCCTGTAGTACCTAAAGTTGGATGTCATGAAAGGACCTGGGTCACATGCATCTGCTTCCTTCTCTTCCTTCCCTCTAATGGTCTCCTGCTTGCCCTACTTCTAAAAGCACACCTTTGGCTCCATGCACACTGGAAATTTGCTAACTCCAAGATATTAGCTTTCAACCCCTGGCAGTCCTTGCAGTGTTTGGCCTATGCAGACTTTTGACAGATTGCCCAGCTTCCCAACTGGCTCCACCCACAAATATGTGACTTTTCTGGCAAAATGGACCTACCATTACCGAACAGGCCAGCATTCTCTAGCCAGGGCAAGGAGAAAAGCAGAGCAGAGCTGTTCAGATGCCAAGCCACAGCCTTCTCCAATTTCTGTAGCCCTCCACCTGCAGAGGATTCTGAAAAATAGACGTGACTTCTATTAAGAGAAACCTCAACTTTTAATGCTTCTTGTTAAATTTTAGCGTCCTGATCATTTAAAATCAAAAAGACTTGTGGACATTATTTGCTGTCCTAAGTCAGGGACTAGAGGCAGTGGAAACTGTTTTCACAAACAATGTCTCCAGAGATCATTAAACTCAGCCATGGTCTTGTCTCTTATCCACTCCGGCAACATATGAACTGTCTGATTCCTTCCTGAACTCTCAGCTCCTCCTGCCCTGTGCTATTGTGGGTAGGGCTTCCTCCTGATCTTTCTACTTTTACTTCCTCCTTTCCAATGAAGCTCAGAATTGGGAGTAGTCACCTTTCCCTACCATTCATCTTTTCTAGAATTAGTCCCTTCGATCTTTAATGCCTGGCAGCTCGCCACTATGGACTCAGGGCCCCAGGAACCCTTCTGAGGTTCTTCCCCTCTCAAAGTGAATCTGCTGCTGGAGGTCCCACAATCACGTTGAGTTACGTGTCATTTTAAACAAACCTGTAGTGAACTTAGTGTTTCCTAACGGTCAGAAAGCTGGAGCCAGCTTTGCTTTTAAAGACAGATGGTGAAGTCGATAAAAAGTCAGAAAATGTGGGTTAACAGACAGTTCTGTAACTAGACAGGCTACAACCACAGATGAGTCATTTGTCTGTCTTACCCGCATCTCCAAAACAGAAGACAGACTCTAGTAGTAGAAGAGACTTCGTCATCATTTAATTTAGTCTTTCATTTTATAGATGAGTATATAGCATGATTCACAAAATCAAATACTTCCAGAACTTTAATTCAGTAGGATATATCATTTTTAAAAATGCCACTAGTTGCCCTTGAACTGTTTTATGTTGGCTGGTTTTTGTAGATCCTAAAACACATAGAACTTCCAGACAGATTTATAATTCTTTATCAGAGACAACATGTTTTATACTGCTCATGGGGTATAGATATCAATAGTTTCTCTTTGGCCACCATTAGAGACTTTTCTATTGATTCTATCAAATGATAGAACTAGAAAAGCCAGCCTTTCTGAAGGTTAAATGTTCTATCCTGAAAAGGTTGTTTGCCTTGCTTGTTATTAAGAAATACTTCCTTGTAAAATGTGGGGTGTTGGGGAGTGAGAGGAAGCAAACAACAGCAAATACCACTGTTGCCTAGGTATTTCTTTCACATGAGCACATGCCATAAGCACTGTTTACCATATAATTTTCTATTGCCTGTTTTTCAGGGTGGGGGACTGCATGCTTTGGCATACATGTAGAAGTCAGAGAACAACTTCAGGAGTCAGCACTCTCATTCCACCATGTGGATCTCAGGGATGGGATTCAGGGCCTCAGGCTTGTGGGCAAGCATCTTTGTCAACATTGACATCTCACCAGTCCACTCCCTGAAATTTTCTGCAATGTGGGTTCACTCTTGTTTGTGAATCACCCTTAAGTGCACCAGACACAGCTGATGTGAGCCCCTAGTGTAGAGGTTCTGCTGTGTGTCAGTTACACTTTTGTTTCTAAGTTCTCCGGGTCTGCAGACAGAAATGGGCTTGAGCTAGGAATGTGACAGTCCCAGAATGGATGGACTGTCAAAGATCTATGGCACAGCCACCAAAAGTGGAAAGCCTCTTAAGCATGAGGTCTACTTGACACCTGTTCCTCTGAGCAAAGTGAAATCTAAAGGGTTGGCTATGCTTTGAAATTCAAACTAAACTGAAGAATACAACTAGAACACTAGTTAGGATGGATAGGATATAAATCTGCTTCAGAAGAAGAATTTTGCATCAGGGACTGGCATATGGCCTCCAGGTAGGGCAGAGAACTCTAACAAAAGTCATAAGGACAAATGTATAAAGGATTAAGGATTAAGCAGCTCCTAGGATAAACCCAGTGCGTATGTGATTAAGGAGAATTTTCACCAAGTATGTGAAGACTTTTACAATGCTTGCAAATAGGTAACTTATTAGGGTTGGATTTGTTTGGTTTTAGTTAAGGCCATGTCTTAGCCTTGAACTCACTATGTAGTCAAAGATGACCTTGAACTCTTCATATTACTGCTTCTTCCTCTAGAGTACTGGGAATGCTGGCATGTGCCCGTGCTACCACACTTAAAGGATCTACTTTAAGTCAAGCCAAGGCAGAGTTTGATATTCATGGCATTGCTATCAATGTGCATAAGAGGGAAGCAAGCAAGAAAGGACTAGAGACAAAAGGAGACTAGT